CCTCAGAGTGCTTCCATCGGTGATGAAAATCGTGTATGGAAGAAAAGAAGTGGGTGCATTTTTGGTGGCGGCCTGGCTGGTAATTTCGTTCCTGTATCGTCGATGCTGCCTTCACTTCAGCTAGAAGCAGCAAAACCATTCAGATCCAGTGCTCTGACGGCGGAGGAATTTTAGCCTGAGGAGAGGAGCTCCATATCTTCCACCTCCAACATGCCGCCATAACACTGCGCAATGGAGAGTCGCTGGCCCTGAAAGGAACAGCACCACCAGCGAAGGCCTCCCCATTCTTTCCTCTAGTAGTCCTCTAGTAGCTACCCAGATGTTTGTAAGCGAGTTGCTGCCACGAGCCAACGTTTTTTTTTTTCGAAAAGGAGGACTCCCCGGCCTCTGCATCATGAGAACGACACATACGGCCACATTTATAGATAAATAAAGGTGTTCAACAAGGTCGTATAGTCTGAAAACAAAAAAAAGCAAACTCACAAAGAGCCACAACACCAAAAACAAAACGTCCAAAAGCCACATCACATAACAAAGATAGATAAATTAATTGCCTGTCCTATTACATGACCGTCATCCAAACCAGTTGAAAATATCCCGCGCTATCATCTCCCACCGGACAGATCCAATAACCAAACGCTCTCTGGCCTCCGTCAGAGTGAGTAAGGACCACATACGGATCAGCGCAGTAGCTCGGAATAAACCTGCAAAAAATGAATATTTGTTGTTCTGTTAAAAGCCAAATCATTTCTGCAATTCCAAATTGCCCACAACAAAGCACATACTCCTACACGAATGTGTCTAGCTGTTTCGGACTCTATCCCAACAAGCCACGTTCCAAATAACGTATTGACCGAATTCGGAGGAGTAATGTTAAAGGCAATACGCACCGTGTGCCACAAAACCCTTGCCAACGGGCAGTCAAAGAAGAGGTGCTTGATGGTTTCGTCCCGATCACAAAAACTACACCTAGTAGATCCTGTCCAGTTGCGGTTAACCAAATTATCCTTTGTTAAAATGACTTGTTTATGTACAAACCACATAAACACTTTAATTTTCAAAGGAACTTTGACTTTCCAAACCTCTTTGGAACTAGGGATAACACTAGAGTTAATGACATCGATATACATCGACTTAACTGTGAACTCTCCAGATCTAGTAAGCTTCCAACACAACTGATCGGGCTGATGAGATAGCTGAACCTCCATCAGTCTACTCACCAAATGAAGCCATGCTTCCCACCGGTCGCCCACAAGCGCCCTCCTAAACTGAATATTAAGGGGAATGGACTGCATAATCGTGGCAACAAGAGCATCACGTCGTTGAACAATACGATACAGGGCCGGATACTGAAGCGCCAACGGCGTCTCACCAAGCCAACTATCCTCCCAGAAGCGAGTGGTGTTACCATTACCGACTATAAACTTTCTTCTATTAAAGAAGGCAGCTTTGACTCTCATAAGCCCCTTCCAAAACGGCGAGTGTCGGTCTCACTATCGCCTGGGGCAACGTCTTGGGCTGCAAATACTTAGGCCCCGTTCGGATGTCATCCAGCTTCCAGCTTTGCGAGAAGCCAGCGAGAAGCTAGCCGAACGGTGCAGCTCCCAGAATCCAGCTTCTGGAGAACGAGCGGCCTGCAGTGCAAAAACGAGAAGCTGGTTGAACCCAGCTCTCAAAATCGAAGGAGGAGAAGTTCGACATAATTACCGGATATATGCCACCGCCAAGTGACCCTGAGGTAGCGTACCGGTTCGCTCGATCTCTTTCTCTCGATACGTTCTCTCCCCGGTACGAGAAACCACCCAAATGGGCTCCAAGCGTGCTTCCTGGGCTGCCAGCCCATGCAAACGGGAGCTGGAAGCAGGCTGCTACCGAACGCAGCTCTGGCTCCCGTGAGAAGCCAACTCGCTCAGCTCCCGCAAGAAGCTGGCTCGTTTCGGAAGTTGGCTCGCTTCCGAACGGGCCCTTACTACATAGAATCTGCGGCCACGTGGCCTCAGTTTCAACTGAAAGTTTATACAGCCACTTACTGAGAAGACATTTGTTTTTGACTTCAAGATTCTCAATACCAAGGCCCTCCTGGTCCTTTGGTCGACAGATGATATCCAACAGTTAACTTTAGGAGTCGATGTTATCAGGAGGTTCTGCTTTAGAACGCAGAAAAACCCAAAACATAGTAGCTCAGGGATTTCAGGTTACCGCTGCAAACTACCGAAACATACTGAAGCAACAATGGATCTGGTGCTCATTACTAATAGAGAAAAAAGTCAAGGGCTGCAGCAAAGCATCATCATCCATAGTGTCAACTGGAAACTTCATCAAAGTGCATAACGAAAACTTCCACATGCAAAACATTCAAACTCTTACACGCGCTAAAACAGTAGTAGGGTCGCCCGCTCACATGAACAGGTTGGGCCT